AACAATGCCACATAAAATAGTGCAATAGACAAACGGTAGTAACATTTAACATGAACTCTCGTCTTATTGATTGTTCTAAAGGACACACATTCCTGCAGAGGGTTTGCTCCTAAAGCTCATCTGTCTCTCTAACTTTTTTTTTTTTATCCCTTTGGGAACTTAACTCCATCTTTAGACCAATCAGCATTTAGATTAAAAATGTAAACACATTTTATAGATCTCCTCGTTAGTTGGCTATTTGTTGAGGAAAAGCTCAGCACTTTGTGTGAGACCAGTTAACATTAGATTAATGTAGCTCTGAACCTTTACCTGTTTTGCTTTGTGTGTGTGCGTGTGTGTGTGTGCGTGTGTGTGTGTAAGAAATACAAGAGCAGACAGCAGCTAAATGACTGCTCGTCAGCAAAATCCCTCTAATGAACAGTTAGGCAGCTGAACATTTCCTTGTTTTCTTCACAGATTAGGCTGACAGATAACGCCGTGAAATGCAAATGCTCTCTCGCAGGAGTCCAAGTCGCGCAGAACGTTTAATGATTTTTTTTTTGTCCATCTCGTCGCACACTGCTTCACCCACGTGGAATTATTCATCCTGGGCATCAGATCACCTGCCGCAGCATCTCACCACCTTACTTTTTGGTGGAAGAGACTTGACGAGGACTACAGAGGGATATCTGAACGTTGTCTTTTCAAAAAAGTATGAGCTACACATTGTAATATACAATATGTTGTATACAGTTGTGATTTTAGCCTCTTTTGGGGGGTGCTCAAGCAAGTTAAAAAAATATATATATATTTTAGAATTGTTGGCGTTTCTGGGTTTTGGTTTCCGTTTGTTGCATTTATGGTTCATTGCAACAAAATAAACTAATTTAAAAGGTAACACTGACAAAGGTACACATTAAAAGATCATTGTAATACTTGGTTTATTTATTTACATAATGACTTTAATCGCTGGATGTCCGGCCCCTGAGCTGCTGCCTTCAGGAACTGTGCCCCCCTGAGCAGTTTAGCTGAATAGCCGTGATTTAGAGGCTGAATACAGTTTATTCCATTTCCAAAACCTAAACCGAGTCTGGAAAAATGTAAAAGATGATAAAACCCCGTGGTCGACCTCATGAGCAGCTGAATACAACGGTGATAAACAAGAAATACATGTTCATCTGTACGAAGGTAACTGCAGGTAAATCCTCCATTTTCTGTCATAATTACATTGTATGCTTAATGGTTAAATTAAAGTTTAATGCTTAAAGCTAGTTGTGCTTTGTGGATATAGTTATGTTGCAACTTCTGGTTGCATAAGTTTAGTATTTGTTATGATTTGTTAACACTAAGTTGATTTTGTACAAAGAGTTTATTAGGTTGTGTAATGTAAAGTAGAGCGCTAAGTCTGTAGCAACTTAGCTAGCGCGTCTGTTTTGCACACAGCTAGCTTAGGGCTACTTCTTGTTGTGCCATTAGCTCAAAAATAATTATTGAATCAAGTGCTTACTTATGGAGGTAATCGTAGATGTTTAACAACCTGTTAAAATACACCAGAATGCAGGAAATGGCATCTACTTTATTCAAAATTTTCTGGGGGAGGACCCTCAGACCCCCCCCCCCCCCCCCACACACACACACACACACACCACGACCACCACCACCAGTATCCATCCTCCCACACACATTATGAGTGCTTCTGACAGCAGTGGTCAGCATGTTGCTCAAGCCAAGAGCCATTGTCAACACTCGGGGCACCCTAAGCACCCCTAACTGTCAGACTCTAGAACCGCCCCTGGTTGTATACCACCTCGGCAGAACACAAGTGATGGATTGGAAACGCTGCAAAAGCAGCAGAGAAAGTTTTGGGATGCTTGTTTTCTCCTCACGTAACAAGTCTGCAGATTTACAAAACCCAATCTCAGTATCAAGGGAATGTATTATCTCCAACATTTTGATGCAGTCCCAGAAACTCCTTTTTAATGTTTCACTTCCCTTGGGGAATAATTTGAATGTATAGGTCACATTTTTCCAATTTAGTCCTTGTAATAAAACATGATGTCATCATTCTTCAAAGTCCCATTTGTTAGTTTTGTATATGAAGTTTTGATTCAGTTCCTTTATTTTAAATTTCTAATAAACATTTTGCACCATATGGAACAGAGGATTCAGAAGATAGTTTGGAATTTTACCTAAAGTTACTTTTATTTCGTTAAAACACTGAAGTCACTTGAATGGAAGAAAAAAAAAGTAATCAAGTGGCAACGCCAGCTCTTACAGCGAGACTTAAGAGCCTAACGAGGATTTGACAGAGAATAAGATATTTATAGTGAGGGAAGGTAGCGGCTGAAGCAGTGCAGGTGTTGTAATTGACAAAGGAACTGAAACGACCCAAAGAATGTTCCAAGAAAATAGATCAGGAACATGAAACACAAACAGAAGACAAAAACGACGATGACGTCACAACCAAAAATACACAATTACCCATAAATCACATTATGGATGTTCAAGCCCCATTTCTTGTGTCTATTATCAAAAGTTATGCTTTGAATATAAAAAAAGAGAAAAAAATTCTCAAATATCAATGTTTTAACAGCTGCATACTATTATGACAAGTTCAAATGCAGTTTTTAGGTTCTTGTGTTTAGAACATATGAACATCTCTAGTTATTTTTGTTTTTTCAGTCTCAAGTCTCTTCTTATACAAAAACCAAGAGAAAAAACATAAAGAACAAACAGAAAATGAGAAAAAAAGGCTTAATTTTATAATCAAGCAGTTCAGGGTGGATGTGAGGAAAATCACAGAGGACGCTTTAGACCTGATGTAAAATGACTTAATGTGAAACTTTGCTTTCAGTGAAATGAATATTAATGGTCGGCCCACTCATGCAGGGTGGACACTCGCTGTGTTCCTGTCCTCCATCTGAAAGGTGCGCAGGAGTCTGCAGGAGGAAGCGAGCCCTCATTTACATGACAACATGAGCAACACAAACAAAGCTCAAGCACCGAGAACAGAAAAACAAAACAAACGTGAGTGTGAAAATATTCTGGAATACAAGCATTAAAAAAAGAGCAAATTAAAATCATAATTATTTTAGTTTTCAGCATTCTAATAAATTTAATTTTTCCACCTAAGCCTGCATGTAAGCACCGTGATTTCAGATTTCTAAAATTCTATTTATATTTTCTATAACTTTGTTTGCACTCCGTTTGCATTTCCCAAATACTAACAACACGTTTGTTGAAGAAAGAACATGAAACAAAGCAGCATAAAGCAAAAATTAATAAAATGAACTTGATGTAATGAAAAGAGTCGTGATGTTTTTGTTTTAAAAAGTCATAACTTCAAGCTCAAACTTTGGGATCGATGAGTTAAGAGAAGAAAAATAACAGAAATCCTCAAGATGCAGGAAAAACACGTGAAAGCAGATGTTTATACGAGTCCTGCTTCAAAATTAAATAATTAGCAAACGAAAGAACAACTTGGTGTTCAAGTGAAATGTTCAGGCTAACAAGTACAAATTCATAATAATAATAATAATTTAAAAAAAGATATTTCAAGAATTTCAGGCTCCTGAACTGTTTCAAGTTGTTTTATCATAAAATAAAAATTTCAAAAACAGTTTTAAAAAATCCAAACATCTCTTGTGTTTTTGATAAAACTAATAAAAAAGATTCAGACCAAAAGTACATTTCTTGTACCAACAAGTACTGCTGGTGGAACAACATCTGCTGCAGACCCCGTCTGTAAACAGGAGCCGTTTGAACAGAAGTTATAAAATAATGTTTCTGGGTTACTTCAGCACAGTCCACGTGTACTGCTCCTTGTTATTCTCACTGTGGATGGATCACACTCTTAAAGCTGGGACAAACAAAAACTTTTAGTTTGATGCTACAAAATGAAGTACAGTAGTCCCTCGATAATCACGGGGGTTACGTTACACACACCACCTCGATAGGTGAAAAACTGCGAAGTAGGAACACTATATTTATTTTAGTATTTATATATAGTTTAAGGCTTTATAACCCCTTCCCACACTTTTGCAATGTTCTAATCTTTTAAACCTACATCATTTTAACAACATATGTATATGTACTGTACAGCACTGCAGACCAGCAGCTGCAGCTTGGTTCTGGTTCAGCAGATCTACCCTGCAGCATCACGAAGCCCACCACCCATCCAGGTTGATGTGTGCGTGCTGCTGCTCCAGGAAGGACACTCCACGCACGAGGCTGCCCAGGATGTAGTCCACCACCTCAGCCCAGGTCCGAACCAGCACCGCAGTGATCAGAGCCAGGCCAAACTCCACCGCCGTCTGATATTGTGTTTGCTCCCTCCATTGCTGTCATTTCAGCAGAGAGCAGCGGGAGGAAGCACTGTTGGCTTCTGGGTAGTGTAGTTCTTTTGACGCGTTACAGTGTAGGCTTATTGAAAGAAAACTACAACATGTTGAAAAGAAAACTACAAAAGCTTGTCCGGAGTATTTTTTTAATTTAAATTTTGTTGTTTTTTTGTCCTATTGGTTGGTCCCTGCTCCTGTCTGCTCCCGTTAACTTCTTATACCGTTCCAGTCACGCGAGTAATATTAATGTTGACAATCGTGTGTCGTGTACAATCTTACGTTGAAAAACAGTGAATGAGCGAGGGACTACTGTATCAATTCCAAACTTTATGTCTATTTCTTTTAAAAAATAGTTGAGGAAAATCCTCAAAACCGTGAATAAAAAGGATTTGTTGTAACAAATGTATTATTTTATATATATTTATATTTATATAAACGTTCTGACCTCATTATCTAGGATCTAAATATCTTTGACACGTTTTACTAAAACAGGGCTATTCAACTGGCGGCCCAGGGGCCAAATCATGCCCACGGAAGAACTCAGCTCGGACCACCAATTGTTCATTTTAAATAAACTGGACTTTAAACCATGAAACAAACTTAATGACATTAACTGCTGAATGTCCGGCCCCTGGGTTGTGGCCCCCTGAGCAATGTACTGTAGTTGAATATCAGTGTACTAAACCTTCACTCCTCTCCTTCAACGACACCCAACAACCGCTGCGTTGGAACATTCATGCTCTCCTGTTTGGAGTCTCCATGTTGTCTCTCCTCTTGGTGTCCAGCAGTCCAGTCCCAGTCCAGATCTTTAGACGAGCTTCCTCTGGAGAACCTCCCTTTGTGGACAGACGACGCCACCGGTGACGTCTCTCTGCTGTCTGACAGGAGGACCCCGCTCCCTGAGCTGTATTCACTGTTGGAGTCTGCACCTAGAGCAGCAAGGAAAACAAATGGGGGGGAAGCACAGATGGTGAGAAGACTTTTATAAACAACCCCCACATGAGAGAAGGCTGCCCAAAACCTCCATGCTGGGATTCAAGGGCAGAAAAGATATCAGCATGATGCCGTTTAAGCTGCACTTTGATTTCAGTCCAAAATAAAACCTCAACCTTTTTACAAGTTGCCCTTTATTGTAATGTTGATGAAGCTTTCACACTATTGTGATCCACTTCTAAATTCTTCCGTAGTTTTCAGCAACTTTCTCGTTCCACAATTTTTGTGCTATTTCAACAAAACATTCAGCTCTTTCAGGACAGTCATGCTAGGACTTTTGGTTTTGGTGCAAATTTAGCTTTTTGAAATATTTAGCCTTTTTTTACATTTACTTTCTCATAGAAAATGAACTGATCTCATTTTACATCCTTCATATCTTTAGATCTGTTTACAACCTTTTACTGCTCCTTTCACATTCCGTTCTGGTTCAGCTTCTTTCAGCTTCCTTGTGCAGATTTAAACATTTTTTCAGCTAAATTCAGTTGTTTTTTCTGCTGTTTTGTGCTCCTTTTCTGTTAACTACATACTTTTTGTGCTTCTTCTTTCTGCTAATTGGGGGCTGCCATTGCAATGCATAGGAGAGCATTGCATTGTGAAGCAATTCACTGCCTCCATGCAAATGCATGGAAGGCACCTATTATTCTGCACCCAATAAGTGTTTCTTTATTTCAGCTTCTTATGCTCCTTTCAGCTTAGTTCTGCAAGTTTCAGCTGTTTCTGATATTTCAGTTACTATTCAGCTATGCTAATTTTAGCCTTTTCAGCTAATTCCACATTTTTTGCACTAATTTCAATGTTTTTTCTGCCTAAATCAACAAAAATGTGCTCTCCTCTTCCTTCGGGTAATTTAAACTTCTTTCTGCTTTTTAGCTACTTTTCAGCTTTTTTTGTTGTTGTTGCCTATTTCAGCTTTTATTTACATAAAATCCTAAAATTTCTGCTCATTTCTGCTTATTCATCAATTTTTCCAATTCAGCAAATATGTCTTCCTTCTTTTCTTCAGCTAACTTGGGCTTTTCAATTTCAACTACATTTCAGCACATTTTTCACTAATTTCAGCTGTTTTTCAGCAAGTTCTTCAGCAATAAGCATTCACACTGCATTTTCGCTGGAAATGCACTTTCTCTAGTTTTATTTTATTTTAATGTTTGTTGTAGGCATAGAGAAGGATACCTACAGTATAAACCCCTTGCCAGCAAAATTCTTGAAATAAAATGCATTCATTAAACAAAAGCAAGCTATAATAATTTAACATTTCAAGTTCAAATTAGTTTTCTTAAAACAAATAAAAAAAATGCTTGTTTAAATTGGTGTTTTGTACATTTAACCTCTTATATATTCTTTAATGAACATGAAGTCAAAACCCACAAATTGAGAGGGAACAACTAAAATCAAGGGGTGTTGACTCCTCCACATTGAACACACACTGAAGTGGCTAACTTGTTATAATCCTCTTATTATGAAGAATTAACTCACTTCCACTCCCCGTCTGTGTGTGTGTGTTTTTAATGACAGAGAAACTGAGGCATTTTTTGCTTGTCACATTTCTCTGCTTGTTAACGAACTACGAAGTACCAGCTTCAACACCTCGGGCCGTTACTTAAAGTCGGAAACTGAAAATAGGCACCGAGGTGTTGTTAATTAGAAACTTCGATGAGCTAAAGATTTTTAATTGGATGGGATCACACAGGCAGCCCGAACACTTAACTCCTCAGTTTCATGGCTGGAAGGGAGCCAGTTTGGTGAGGTTTTTTTCTTCCCTTTTGCCTCTGTGGATGGTAAATGTTCCTGCACAATACTCTGATTTTTAGTCAGTATTTCTTAACACAAGTTTCAAAACACACCTGGTGATGGCCAACAAGAACACCAAGAACTGACATCTTGTATATCAAATTATCTCAGAGTTTAAAGATTTACCAAGAGATCCGGAAATAATCCATCCATTATCTTTTACCTGCTTCTTCCTTTTCGGGTTGCAGGGGTAATGGTAAATGGACTGTACTTGTATAGCGCCTTTCTATCTTATTTCAAGATACTCAAAGCACTTTACAATACAATCTGTGTCCTCATTTACCCATTCATACAGCACTCTACTAATCTCTACAAAGCTAATTGAACAAATCATTCTAAAGAGACTAATCAGTGCTTTTAGATCACATTCATACACTGATGGGACACACATCAGAGGCTATGAGGGGTTCAGTGTCTTGCCCAGGGACACTTCAGCATGTGACTGCTGGTGGATTCGAACTCCCAACTCTTGCATTGGAGGATGACTGCTCTAACCACTCAGCCACAGCCGCCCCATAACTGGTGTCCATATCCAGCAGTCACTGTGCGAGAGGCGGGGGACACCCTGGACAGGTCACAAGTCCATCACAGGGACACACGAGACAAACAACCATTCACTCTCTCACTCACACCTAGGGACAATTTAGAGTTGCCAATCAGTCTAACATGCATGTTTTTGATCTGTGGGAGGAAACCGGAGTACCCGGAGAAAACCCATGCATGCACGGAGTGAACATGCAAACTCCACCCACAAACGTCCGGGATATGAACCGCCGACCTTCACGTTGAAAGACAACAGCTCTACCAGCTGAGCCACTGTGCCGACCGAGATCCTGAAATGATGCAACAAACTATACAGGCAAATAAAAACCTGCTTCACTTTAAAGATATTTTAAAAATGGGGTTTGGGGGAAAGCTTCAAAACACATAATATTGCTCTGATTTTAAAGCTCTGAACAATCTATGTCTGGAGGGAAATTTTGTTTGTTTTGGCTAGATTGACAAGCTAGTGGCTAGTCCAAGCAGAGCTTATACCAAAATGGATTGACGCCATCTTAACATGCTGCCACTCATAGATTTCACTGTGGTTCATGTGAAAGCCATTTTATTAAACTTTACATTCTTGTCAGTTTTGCATTACAGCCGACTTATTCTTATTACAGCAGAAATTTTGTAACGTTCCTGTACAGTTCCTGTTGTAAGAAGGGACAGCTACAGCTAATTGCTGCTGCTGATATTTGTGCTCATTAACAACCATGCAATGCAAAATGATCACAGTGGAAAGGTTTTTTAAGTAACATTAACATGAATCAGAATCAATCAGAAATTACTCTATTCCTTCAAACGGAGCTCATTCAAAGATCTATCTAAAGCAGGTAAGATAATAACAGTTGTTCATACCTTCTCCACTGAACTTGGTTTAAACTTTTAAACTATCATTGTGTGCCCAACAACGTTCAGTCGGGTCCTCTGAACAGTTTCTGTTTTTGTTGAGACGTTTCCTCCTTCATCCAAAGGACTTCATCAGTCCGAGGAGCTACAAACAAACTCAGTCCCACAAGCAGCACACTCACATAGTGGACCAATGAGTTTGCTGGTGATAAGATGGTTTCTGGGGCCCATTTTCTCCCCTGTCGACTCCTCGGAGGCAGCCATAGCCAAAGTGGTTCAAAACATCAAAGTACATGCTCAATAATTCAGGTTAAAAAAAAAAATCCAATAAAGTTCAGTCAGGTCACCTGGACAGTTTCTTTTTTTGCTGAGATGTTTCGTCCTTCAGAGAAGTTAACGGGGGAGAGGGTGGGCCCCAGAAACCATCTTATCACTAGCAAACTGGTTGGCCCACTATGTGAGTGTGAGTTTGTTTGTGGCTCCTTGGACTGATGAAGTCCTTTGGATGAAGGAGGAAACGTCTCAAAAAAAAAAAAAAAAGAAAAAAAAAAAAAAAAAAAAAGAAAAAAAAAAGAAGGAAAGATAAGAAAAGAAACTGTGCAGATGACCTGACTGAAATTTGTTGGATTTTTTTTTTTTTAACCTGGATGCTATTTTTGTATGAACTTTTACTGTTTATAGTGTTTTGTTGCATTTTGACAAATCACAAAAGAAAGAAAAATATTGATGTTTATTACAGCCCAAAATCATGCTACCAAAAAAAAAAAGGGCAATAATAATATCAACAGAGAAACGGGTCCTGGGTAACAACAAATAAAGGCATCTAAGGTTAGTTTAATCAACTTAAATGTAGGAAAAGGCTGCTGATAAGAAAGTTAGAACAATATAAACCACAGAATTAATTTCATGCACAAAAATGCCAATAAAAGCTCATTAGAATCTAGCCACAAGCACTATCTGGTTAATTTGCATTCACCTCATATTCATGGGGTTGATGAGTCAAAAAATATGAACAATACAAGCAAAAACAGTGAGGACTTCGTTGGAATCCCTGAAGCAAATCACAAAACTTAATCAGCCAGTGGGGAAATAAAAAAAATAAAAAAAAACTCCATTTAAACTGGAAAACACACATTAGGCAAAACATCTTCATTTGAAGGCTAAATAAATCTGCATTTCATTTGTAAGGCTTGGTAGTAACTTTAAGCTCTAGATAATCTGACTGACAGCTGAGTCATTATTAAAATTATAGCAATGATGATCAAGTTAAGATTTAGCATTGTTAAGGTGTGTAGGATGACTCTCATGAAAATTCAGTTTGAAGGCTCTCGGAGGAATAACTGTCACAGACCAAGATTTCTGTGCCAGGAGTGAAAATTTAGAGCTTTAGATCTGATTTGAGATTCAAGATTTAAAACAATCGCATGATGGATCAGTTGCAAAGCAACACACTGACGTGGGCGTGTGCTTCTGCAGAAATGAAAGACCAACCTGGGTGGAGGAGCGGTCTTAGATGGGGGGGGGCACAAAATGTGACTCGCAGCTTTTGTTTTCCCCCTACGACGCTCTGGCACAGCTAAAGATCACCAGCAGAGAATAAAATGTAGACTATGTTCCACAAAGGTCATTTTCCTTTACCTTCACCACATCCAGTGCAGCACTATTTACTCTGAATTCTCTCAGAGATGACATTATTCACAAGAAATGACAGAGTATATATATATATATATATATATATATATATATATATATA